GAATAGTGTGATGTTCATCTATTCTTTGAGCAATTAATCTGTGGGACTTCCTGGTTCCTCTGAAACATGCTCCTTCTGCAGCAGGAGTAAGTCACCCTTAAAGACACATGGAAAATCAGAAGAGGGCCAGGTAGTGTGTACTTCAGCATTGCTTCTGCACTGCTGCAGAGCTACAGAGTTGTTGTGGATGCACTGGGGAGCACCTAGATTTTGGAAAGGAAATTGTGTCTCCAGCTTGCTTGTGATGCCTTAAACCCCAATGGTTTTCTTATTTTTCTACCTTATGAGTTTTATAGGTAATAGAAGTAGATTTTAGAAACACTCCTTTCTCCCTCCTCCCCGTAGTACCCCTTAGTTTATACATTCCTTAAGCCTCTTACCCCATCCCATACTCCCCATATCAACCCTCTTCCCATATCCAGTAGAAAATGTTTAGTCTCTTAGTCAAGGCAAGCCTGTCTTGTTTGAGAACGCTTGTATCTTGGCCTAAACCTCAGGACAGAGTCAAGGAACTGGGTGACCCTTCTCTCTGTACCCCGAAGATGATGAAGGATGATGAAGAGGGGGTCCCAAAAAGCCCCCCGACCCAATTCCAGGAGGTGGGCCAGGGGGTGGACCGGAGCAAAAGTTATGTGGTGGACACACTGGGGATTGGCCAGATATTGTTATAAATGTAACATCTCAGGCACAGCCTGGGGCGTGCGTCGTTTACCATCTCTTGCCTTGGCACTATTAAATCCTTTCCTTATCTCACCCCAACTAACAGCTCCTAGATTTTTTTCTAAGCACCAGAGAGCAGGCATCACTTGTTTCAGAGGTAGGGAAGCACCCTGGGACAGAAAAATTACTCGCTCAGAAGCCACCTGCCTGCCATCCTTTAGGAACGAAGGAAATCCTGCAACTCTCGCAGTACAACAATACTGCTCTGGAAGCTGGTGCCACATGGGTTAAACCATAAAACTGTACACAGTATAAAAATGAACAAAACTACTTTCCAGTGCTTTGAAAATGGTTTGTCAGTGCCCATACTGCACAGGATCTGTCTAGTGGAGAGAAATGCTGCTTGCCATTACACAGGCTGTTCCAGAAATGCTTAGTGATTACAGCACCACCTTCCCTGGCCCTTTTATTTAAGGAACAGTTCTGCCCTGGGGTTTATTTAATTCCTATCTCTCCAAAAATTGAGGTGGATGAGCCTTTCTACCAAAGGGATATTTTTTTTAATCAAAAAAATGTTAACAGTTTCATGTTCATCCTGGCTCTGTGAATATTTGTATACTGGCACAACAGAAAGCTTAATAGCTGAAGGGTGATGCAGGAGCTGGAAGGAGAGCTTAAGGGTGAGATTCTTATAAACCAGTTCTGTCATGAAAGGAAACACCACATGCCTAATACATGTGGCATGAGCAGAGAAGCAGTGTCATGGTTATCACCTCTTTAATCACCCTCTCCATTCTGCCTCCTTGTAACTTTCAAGTGGATTAGCGGGGTAACGCTAAGTACAGAGTGTGCAGGACAACTGGCTTACTTGTACTCAAATGCCTAAGGAAGAAGCAGTCAGCCTGCCCTTCAGAACTCTATTCTTCCAAGTATGATCAATAATTTTCAAGAGTTTTAGAGGTGCAGAGGAGAAGAGCTGCGGTGCAATAGAAGTTGTATTTTAGGTGGAGAATTGTCAAAGATGCCAATGCCCCTGATGCATGTGGTACCTGTGGGCTTTCAGTAGGAGGTAAGCATGTCTGTGCTTTTGTCATTCAGTTGATAGTAGAACTGACCTAAGTACTCATGAGAAATAATTCAGTCTCCATTTTTGACCTGTTGGCAATTTGTGATCAGTTCAACAAGTATTAACATATCAACATATGTATCTCTGGAGACATGAATTATTTATATGGGTGTTCAAAAGGTCAGAAAAGCAATTTTCTTTTGGGGATGTACAACTGGCCATGTGATTTACATGGTATTCTCTCATCCCTGATTGTGTTAGCATTATAATTGCTTATTCCGTCTGATCCTAATTTTGATTCTTGATGAGGTCTCACTGACAGTAATTTTCACTCAACATTTATCCCTAAAAAGGTTCACTTACATGAAAGCTTGTGAATAAAGAGGTATAAACCAGTCAAGTATCCATCCGATTTGTTATTTGGGCTGCTGGCTGATAAATGCTTAGGTACTTTGGTCAGTTTCAGTCATGATTGAGACGGAGACTTCAAATCAGCTACCTCCCAGCAAATAATACAGGTATGAATTCAGTATGAAGGCAACGCCAGTATCATCACCCATTTTGATTGCTGTGGTACAACATATATCCATTTCCTCTGCTGATCAGGTAGAAAAGCTACTGAGGAGATGTGTTATGCACTTTATTTTGAAACACAATGTATGACTCATTCCCCAAATATATCCACTGCATGCCTTAATGGTTTTAAGCCAGAAGATGAGCTAAGCAGCAGCAAACAACATCAAGAAAACTGGTTTGTGCCAAAAAATGCAGGGGACTGTGAAGTCCAAGGATGGGATGACAACCATGTATCCTAACAAGCAACTTCTTAGGTCCCGTAAATTGGTGCATTATGACACTCAGACAGAGTTTTGAACTATCAGAAAGTGACTGGGGAGATCAGTAGGGTGATGGGCAGCACTGGAAAAGGAAGCTACAGTTGCCTACTGCCTCTGCTATATATGGCTATATATATGGCTATATATGTGTTCATACACAGGGGTGTGGGTTTGTGGTGCTCTAGTCAGCTCAGGGCAATAGAGATATGGGCAGATGAAAGCAGATGTACAGGGAAGATTAATGTATGTTGGTCCAACGCAAATATTCATCACATGAACACCAACTTGGCCCAGCTTGCCATGGTATTGTGTCTGTTGAGGGGGTTTAATATGGTGCACAACCATTATGTCCTTCCAGACACTTTCTTGAATGACTTGAATGGTGAACAAAGAATAAGCTACTGTGGAGACTCTGCACTGCAGCTGTTGAGGTGTTTCATGGGGAACCATGACAAAACTGTCTCCCTGCTTCTCTTTCTGAGATGTCAGCATGCAATGCCAAAACACTAGGATCTTAAAAACAACCCAAACCAAAACAAAATACCCCACCATTTTTAGATCTCTAAAGGAGTAAATGAGCAGGTAGTGTTCAGACAAGGCATTCAAGTAAAAATAATTATCATTAAACTGACTGTGGATGTTTACTTGATTAAAATCTTTTGCTGGTGGAATAAAAGGTTTGTTGTTTTTAACCTGACAGAAAATTTATAAAATTACTGTAAAGAGACTTTCCAGGAAAAGGAGGAAAAGCAAATAATTCTTGGGAGACCATTTTGAGTTTCTTACAAAACAACATAAAATCTAAATTAAAAGCTGCCCTTCCACTGACTTATATTAAGGTTGATATTGATTATGCACTTACAAAGAAATAAAATACTTCAGTATGGAAAGTAATTTTGAAGGTATTTGGCCATTTCAATGCCTTAAATAAGGCATTTTTTCTGGCGGCATTAAGTAGAAATCATAAATTGCTATAAACATTGGGCCAAGAGCTCCTCTTTTGCTGGGCTTTTGTGAGCCTATGAGTGCTCTAGACTGACTGTATGTTTTTTTTTCAGTGCCTGACAACTGCCACCTCAGATATGTTGAGATATATTACATTTATATATATACAATTGATTAAAACCTCTGCAGTTCCGAATAAACTGAAATCTTTCCCAACATTTTCTAAGGCTCAAAAGTTACCTTGTCCTCTTTGGTTTAGAATTTTTTATTTGTGCTACAATACTACTAAACATTTTATATGAGATTATTCCATTGTTTTGACGCTGTGAAAATGTTTTAATTTGTCAGATCTATGCAACTGAAGAGTAATAGAATTCTTTTCAAAATTGAGGCTGCGAGGTTCTGAGGACGTCAACCTCTTTTCAGTCCACAGAAAAATCTTATATCATGAATTTCTGCAGAATGAAAACTGTATTTACTGGACTGCTCAGAGATTTTATTTCCTTGTGATGTGCTACAAACAACAAAAATATTGCTTTTGTTAATGACATAAGAACTAGGAAATTATTTTCGTTACTCATGGATCAGCTTTTTTCTCTGTTTATTTAAAACTTCAAACTAGCCATCAAATGCGAAAATTGTTCTTTCTCTGCAGTAAACTTAAACAAAAATGCTGTACTTGGGGAAATCTGTTAATCCTTTCTAGAACCTCATACTTTAGAGGGAAGTATTATTACAAAAAAAAAAAGATTGCTTGACTCAGAACAGCAGTTGCAATGTGAAAATTGGAAATTCTATGACAACTGCAGCATTATTTTGCCTTGGACTTTAAGTAGTCTCAATCAGTTTGTTTAGACAGGCTCCTCTGTGGTCAGTGGCAGCAGCTGGTCTGACCAACAACAGAATAAAGATTCTTTTCAAAAACCTTTAGCAGGCATTTCTCTAAAAGCTACTATCATAAAGGATATAGAGACTATATTAATAACAAAAATTTGTAAGTGCACACCTTGTTCCTGTGCTCATGGAAGACAATGACAAACCTCTCGTTAACCTTGGTCCCGAAGGATCAAGTTGTTTCCTCTTATAACCTCCAAGTGATCTGGTGAAAGCAATTGATCAAGCCCGCCACCACCATGTGGGACAGATGTTAGACTTATGTTAGAGATGAATGCACCAAGGTGAAGTAATTAGTTCAGGTTCTGCAGTGATTATGCACTGAAGATGGACAGTACTCAGTTGCTGTCCTCTGAGCTAATCACCAAGAAATAAACTCTTCACTTGCTCGACAAGAGATTTTGAAAGACATCTTACAAGCTTGGATCAACCAATATTGTGAATGAAACATATTTTGGCTTATGTATATTGGGTATGTTCAGTGTGCAAGCTCACTGGACACACAGTGTTTGAACAACTTGCTCCTGTTTTGCATAACCTGTCAATGTCTTTCAGTCCTCAGCTGTCATTTGGCCAACCCTCTCCCTCCAGTAACTTACAACTTTCAATTTCTAGTGTGCAGTTTTGTTCATCCAGAGGATATCTGCGTAGGTCCATCATGCAAGCAGCTGTTGTTGTGATCCTGTAAGAGGAGGGTGAAAAAAATAATGAGACTTGAAACCACATTTTACTTATTTGAGATAGCAAGATTTTCTATAGTGGCTTTTCTCTTTGTTTAAATGTAGAATGGTTCTGCACATGGATTCCCGGCATACAGGCTTCTTAGAGCTTGTAAAGCATGAGTAAATAATTTATATGGCACAATATACTGATTAATTTATAAAGCATCAGAGCATATGCTAAATATTGTAGAACAGGATTTTGACTGAAAACCTTATGTGCAAAAGTGCTTTGAAGAACATTCAGCGATATTTCTACTTGGGCATCTTATTTTTAATGTTCTTAATTCAGATACCTTCAAATTGTTTTGTGAATTTTTTATTTATAACTCGTACTACTGACAGCTTTCTTTTTTCATTTTATTATCACTTACTGTTGTTTTAATTTTGTCTGATCGGTATGTGCACTTTCATCCATGTGGTGGAAATACTGGTAATACCTTATTCATTATCTTTATGGTTTCATGATCAGTTTATCATTAACTATGACAATTGAACATCACCTCTTAATAATGGCATGAGGCAATCAAATGCTTGTGAAATATAACATCGTATGGTGGCTACTTCATGAATGTTGAGAGTAACCGTGATTGCAGGCTGGATATTTCAGATCCTTGCTCCTTCTAGAGGGCATGTGAGTTGATATGTGGTCTCTAAAGGTATTCTCCATAGCCTAAGACTTTTTGCAAAGCAATTCCTCTCCCTTTGTTATACCATAAATCACAGAGCATCTGAGCAAATACTTACTGATAAGCCTGTGACATGTGGGAGGAAGGTTAAGAGATTTCATGAGGATAGGGGTCAAATTTTAGCTTTCTTAAAGGTCCCTTTAAGAAAGACAATCATATTAGTGTTTTCAAACTCACAACAGTTTTTTACCTCTTTTTTTTTCCTTTTTTTTGGTGATAGATGTGTTCTTAAATGCTTACAAAACTTTCGAAGCTGTGAATGGTCAAACTTGATTTGTAATTTTATTGGTCTCTCTCTCCCCTCCTCTCTCCAACGATTTCTACCAGAGAAAGGCAGATAACCTCTTTTCTTCATGTGGATTTGATCCTGTTGTTCCAGTTCCATGTTAATTAATACCACAGGAACACATCTTGAGATTTTACTTTTGATGTGCTGAAAGTCAGGGACACTTACATGATGTATTGGGGTGATAATCCTTGCTGTCACCAACTGCTTTATTACTGTGACATGCTTCAAAATATACTAAGTCTACAAAATTCATCTGTCATATCTAAGTATAAGGACTAGAAATGGCTGTAATGAGAACCCGTCCATGAAACCATTCTGGAATGCTGTGTGAAGTGCCATGAAAATGGTATATTTATACTTTTTCTCAGGCTGATTTTTGTCACATTAAATTGAAATGCATGTGTCTTAACAGGTTTTGCATTTGTCATAAAAAAGGTCAAGGGCTTCAGCTGCAGTAGGACCTCATTTAGATTAGCCATGTACCAACTACACCTTACTGACAGGCATTGAGAAGACATGCAGCACTAATTTGTCAGATGCCTGCTTAATAATGCTTAAGATCATACGTAACAATATACTAACATTAGTCACAGTTAAATGCTTTTTTAATGAAGGTTTCATAGGGCAATATTTTGTTCCCAATTAATTAATTGGCTTCTATGGTAATTTAGTTCACCTATATCAACCAGATTTTTTTATGTACAGAAATAGAAGTTGACATAGTGTTTTCTAAACCACTGCAGAGGTGCAACAGACCCCTGTCTCATCCTCAGACTGCTCTATGATTTCAGGAACTCCTGTTAGCCTTTGGCTTTTGAGTAACGAGTTGAGTGGTGAAGTGTACCTTGACTGTGCCAGAAACTCTTGCTTGGCTAAGGTGAGGGTGGCACTACCTGTACAAGGGACTTCTGTTGCCTGACCAAGAAGGGGAATGAGAGATAATCATCCATCTCCTGACAGCCTTGGAACCTTATTTATCTGAACTGTAGCCCCAGTGAACCAGTACCATTGTTACTGAACTTTTTAAAAACTCCAGTAATTACCAGCTTGGATTACAGCCAGGATGGAAACCAACAAACATTTTGTGACCCTATAAGCAGCTGGTTTAAGTGAGGCCCTTTGAGCTCTTCTGGAGTGCAGCGGGATGCAGTAGCATCTCTCTCTGAGAAGGCAGCCCTTCAGAGCTCACCAACTCTCAAATTTGCAATACTGGCAGAACTGTCACTGAAAACTGATGGTGGGACTTGGTCTGACCCCCCCACCCACACTCAACTCAAGGTTCAAGTCTCACCCATTGAGAAATGACAAGGCATTTGACCTTAGTATTTCACTGAACTTGAGGGGAATTTTTAACAGGTATACCTTGGTAAATTTATATATACACAGCTTTGTATCTGTATATGTTTGTGTGTGTGAATTAACTGAAATACACTATAGCAAGTCTAACATTAATGTTGCTTCTTGGATCTATAATTAAGTCACTGTGTTAACTGTAGTAAATTCTATTGAATCCTTTTACCAATGTTAAATTAGTCAATTATTAAGTGCAGCTAAAACCTTTAGACTAAACTATATGGTACTGAGATTGGACTTAGCCTCACCTAGGCTCTATCAGGAATTTAGAAAGCAAGGGGCCCCTCTCTGAACTTCGTGACCCAACAGGAGGATCTCCCTTATTTTTCTCCACCCTTACTCTTTTGCATCCCCCATTTCTAAGTAAACAATTCTAAATTGGTTCTAGTCAGATTTTCCTTTGTATGCTTCATCTATGTAGTAATAGAGTAAACCTTTCCATAGCACTTTGTGAAGTTGTACATTCATAAATTTATATAAAACCTGCTTTTAGTAATACATCTGACAGTGATTCTTTGAGTTACCTTAACCACTCATTTGACAACCACAGTGTTTAAGCTATTTCCTAATGGCCAGTGTATCTGTATGGCTGACTTCAGCAGTTTTTACATAAGCTACATAAGTAACAGCAATTAGCTATTTTTCATAACATCATAACATAACATCAATGCAAATTAATAGTGTAGTAGTAAATAATGCAATTGTTCATACCTGGAATTTAAATACTCTACATAGTTTTTCCCCCAGACATGAATTCTGACAACTGTATTGTCTTCTCACTATTTGTGCAGTTTTTGGTGCACTGCATTGTTTGGTGTTTCTGATCTCTAATATAATCCAAGAACAAAAGTTAATGTATGCGTTACTAAGACATAATAATAAATACACTGTACTGCTAATTGCAGGTGGGGTCTGGAAGTAAATGCTTGGATTATGGAGAAGAAAGTTAATAAACACCTGGTATTTGTTTCTGGCAGCAGTAAGTGATCCAAATCTGCCTGGCCTGTCTATCGGTAATTTCTCATCCTTCATCCTGGTTAATCACTCCTTGTGATACTACAAGGAAAGGTAAAACAAAGCACTTCATGTATGCTCTCTGCCTCCCTCAGGTATGTTTTGCATTCCGTATAGGACCTGTGAGGCAGCCTCTGTGCTTTAGAGCTATTCTTCATACTTTGGGGAAGGTGGGGAGCAGCTTTCCCCTCATGACTCTTGCAACCCCTTAGCAGCAGTGCTGAATGCTACTGTGGCAATAGCAAGCAGCTGCTTCCATGGCCAGTCTTCGTGAACGAAGATCTGGGGAAAGGTCTGTTACCTTTCCAGCCTGCGCAATGGATTTTTTAGGTGAGACACAGCCTGCGCTGAACTGAGCCCACCCTTTAATCCTAAGGTTCATCTGCCGGGGCCAAGCAAGCTTGGACAATGGCAGTGAGGTCCTCAGGACGTAGGTTTTGTTTAGAGTGACCTTCTCATAGATGGATGGCCTCACAGGGCTAACGGGTTCCATCTGCCTGGGAGACCGAGGAATCGAGGGAGTTAAAGGGCTTTTGCTGAAGTTTGCAGAGACAAGGGCTGCACAACCTGAGACAGGAAAGACAGTGGCAGGTAGTGGAGGGTGTCTGTCAAGAAGCTTGAAACTTGTGGCTTCCAGCATCAGGAGAAAGGATCATGCTTCACTTGTATACCCACAGCTTTGGAAGTGGTGTAGTGCCCTGGACAGGGGGGTGATAAGGATTTGTCAGAGCCGGCTGAGCCTGAGCTACACAGCCATATGAATGGGAAAAGGCCAGTGGGAGCTGCTGGAGGCTACTCCCTGAAGGGAGGACACAATGTTGTCCCTCCTAAAGCTGGAGGTGCTTAAACTTTATTGGGAATCTTAGGCTTCCTTGAAACTAGCTACTTGTAATTGCAGTAGGAGTCTTCACGATCCAGCAACATTCATTACCTGTAATTCATAAATCTACCTTTCAAGCATTTTTTTTCTCCCTCATGATAGAGCTCAGCTGTATAAAATCGTTAATGGCATTATGCTCTGGATAATCGCAAAACTTGTTCAAGGAGATAAATTAAACCCAGATGCAATCATAGTAATTGTCTTGATGAAAAAAAATAAAATCTTTTATTATACATACAGTAAAATCCCAGACCTGTTAGTGGTTGTAATCTCTCAGAGGAGAGGGTAACTGATGGCTTTCACATCAGTTAAAAATAAAGACATTCAAATGCAGAATCCAGGAGTGTAATGGCAGGAAGGGGAAGGCAATACTCTGAAGATAGGGCAAAACTGCAGTGAATCTGTGTTCAAGAGGATTAGACCTGAAAGTCCCTCACACAAGCAGTTTGTGGCAATGGCTGAATATCATGAGCCTCTGTAAATGTTTAGGTGGAGGATTAATCCTACATTTGAAGCAGAACTATTTATATTTCAAAGTAGGATATGTTTCTTCCAGGCTTTCCATTCTTAAAATATGTTTTAAATTCTGGTGTTGGGGCTAATGTATTTTGTTTGTACAGTGACTTTGACCATACCATTCTTATGTTCTTTAGATTCATTTGGATACAAATGAAAAACAATGGGATTATGCAAAGAAGGAAAGCAGTTAGGTAGAGATATATGATTACACTACTTAAT